ACACTCAGCCCTGCTGTCTGGTACCCTGCTATGAAAATCCAAATCGATTTCACTGAGAGCCGGCATCTCTGGCTTCTGGGCAGAAACCAAGCTGTGAAGGAGAACGGGCACCAAAGGCTGCTCTTTTATCTTTGCATGGAGCAAATGCTCCCCAGTGTCATAATTCTCTCCCCCTTGTCCCTTGACTTCAAAGCAATAAGCTAGAAATACATAAACATACCAAAAGAGACACCAAAGGTCCTTCCACACAATGGAGGGAAAGCCACAGTAACATAAAAGAAGACATATATACATACATAATCCCCTGCCAATAAGTTTTATTTACTTTGGGGGAAACATGGGCTGGGGAAAGAGAATCAGGAAATCAGGATTTGTGTCTTTTCCCACAGTGCCTCTATCCCCAGAAAGCTTAAGTGAGGGGCAAGCCCCAGGCCCCAGAGGCCCAGCAAGGTAGTGAGGCATTCCTTTTGAAAACAGACTTCTTTCCTTTGGAGAAGGAACCTTCAGCCAGCTTCTTCAGACACCACCAGTCTGTAACTGCGTGCGCATCACATTAAGCATCTACTTGAAATCTTAGGAAACTGTGACAATCCTATTTTCATTGGGAAGGCACTTCTTTCCTTTAATCGTACTTTGAAATATTATCCATGTAGACTGGAAACTTCACAGAAAGGCTTATTACTATTTATCTAAAGCTAGTCTAAACAGTCTAAACTCTGGGTCTGGATGATTAGCATTCTGAAGCACAGAGAGGTTATCAGTCCAGTTGAAAATCACAGAGCTGGTGAGCAGTAGATAGAGGCTCCAGTCCTAGAGCTTCCCACATACTCTGCTACAGAAAGTTTGTATCTTCCCACATACTCTACTACAGAATAGCACCAAATGACCTCCAACAGAGAACTCTGTCAATCCCAAGTCATTTAACATCTCTCATTTTCATCATCTATATATCTGAGATTATGACTGCAACTATCTCTAGGATTACTGCATGCATGAAATGTGTCAAGGCTTGACACATATGGACCCTGTTATTAAATTGTACTGCTCCTGTCTCACATACAGAAGTGAGTGTATCTGCCATTCAACATGTGATAACTGTATCCACACAGCTGCCCAGAGATTAGCAAGAAAAGATTGTTATCAAACCCATCTCACAGTTAAGAAAACTTAGTAGCCCCAGAGATGACCTAACTTGCATGACACCAGAGTTTTAAAAGTGAGCACATTCTTAGCTGCCCTAACTGTCCTCCTTACCACATGCCCTGAGGAAAGGGTTGAATTAGAAGGGTTACCTCTTTCCCCAGCACCATCTATCACTGGCTCACCCTCCACAACCGTTCCTTATAAACTGCAGTCAACACAGTGCCTGGCACAATGCAGAGACTCGATGCAGTTTTGAAGAATGCATGAATTAGTGAATCATGAAGATCCTGATCTGCAGATAAGAAGGCATTACATGGGCGCAGCTGCCTGAAGCACGTGTCTTGCTGCAGAAAGCAGGAGGCAGGCAGGCCAGAGCTCCAGTTGCAGCAAGAGAGAACCCCACTCCCTCCATGCCTTCCCCCAGCCAGCTGTACGGAGAAGAAGCCTTTGAAAAGATGGAGAGCTGGGCCCCTGATCGCAAGAGTCCTGTCCAAAGTGTTTCCAAACCTGGCCTACATGGCTCAATCCAGAGCCCAGAAGACAACTGTGGCGTACACGTGACCCTCCTCCAGCTAAAATAGATGTAATAACATTGCAGGCAGGGCAGTGAACAGGCCGGGGAGATGGCCCATCTGTCTTCCTAATTGTCAACTCTGCCCATAACAAGATTTGTCTCCCTATCACACCTTAGGCTGCCACTGAACTGAAGCAAAACCAAGATATCCATCTTCCAGCTATGAGCAGCGGCCTTCACAAGGGGCCAGGGACAAAAAGAGGCTACTTGACCACAAGAAGCAGAGACAGCTGGAAGGGGCGCTGGCCTGAGAGTCAGGAGGTGGAGGGATGGAGGGATGACAGGGTGTGTGTGAAGACTGGATGGGGGTGTGTGTCCATACTTCTGACCAGCTATAGGTACTCAGGATGTTACTGGCCCTCGGTGGGCCTCCATTTCCTATAAAATCGAAATTCAAAGTTCTGAAAAGTGGGGTCAATGAGGAGGGGAGGAGGGCTATGAATCACATGATGTTGTATGCAAGACATTTTAGGTTATATGCATTTGGAAGAGCAGATCCATAATTTGTATCAGAATCTCAAAGGTGTATGTAACACTCAACACCCACCTTCCATAAAAAGTTAAGAAATACTAGGCTAGATGATGGTTTTCATCCAATAAGCAGTTACTTGGCACCTTCTACGTGCCGTTCTCTGTGTTCAGTATTTGAGACACAAATATGACAGGAAAGTCCTGTCTTTACGAAGCTCAGAGCATTTACTGCTCAATGTGACAGAAGCTTAAGAAACAAATAAGAGGGAGCATTTGACTCTGGTCTGGAAAAGGCCTTCAGAATCCTGGGGGAATCCTAGGTTAAATGTTGATATTGAAAGTTGAGTGTGCGTTCACTGGGTGAACAAGTAGGAAGAGTATTTTATCAAAAAGGCAGCAACTGTTTCGGAAACTGAAGTATAATTGTGAGTAGGACAAAGAAGATGCTCACTGAGGGAAGGGGTGTGTGGAAGGAAAGATAGAAGCCAGAAATGAGGCTAGAGCGGCAAGAAGGGTCCAGATTAGGAAATGCCATATAAATCAACCTAAAAAACTTTACATTGTAGCCAATGAGTTCATTCTAGTTTTAAAAGTCTAGGATGAACTACCATGATCAGAATGAATCTTCATGAATTTTGGCAGAAGCCTTAGTCCTTTGTGAGCACAGTGGGTAACAGGGAACAGCTAGAGGAAAGAACTGCTTCCTCTTGGCAACCTGAGTGAGCATGGGCTGTCTGCAAAGGTGCCGGTTGTCAGTGCACGCATGACTCCCCCTCCATGACCCTTCCTTATAAATGGCAATCAGCACAGTGCCTGGCACAACTCAGAGACTCAATGCAGTTTTGATGAAGGCGTGAGTTAGTGAATCATTGAAGACGCTGATCTGCAGCTAAGAAGGCGCTGCGCGGGCCCAGCTGCCTGAAGCACGTGTCTTGCTGCAGAAAGCAGGAGGCAGGCCGGCTAGAGCTCCAGTGGCAGCAAGAGAGAAGCCCACTCCCTCCATGCCTTTTCTGCACCGGCATGTCAGTCTCTTCCTCTCTCCCAGACTGGGCAACTCCAACCACCGGTGATTATAGCTGAGAAAGGAAGGTAGTGACTGGCCCTGGTGATGGGGTTCAGAAGTAAAGCACATGCCCATTTGGGCCCCAGGTCATCAATTGGTCAACAGTCTTTCAGCCCATCTAAAGGACTTTGCTACTTGCCTCAGGGCTCTCTCACATGCTGCTCCTTCTGCTAAGAAGGTCCTTTCCACCCTCTTCAAGCAGTTACGTCTTCTTCTTTTTCACGGGAATATAGTTGCTTTACAGTGTTATGTTACTTTCTGGGCTACAACCAAGTGAATCAGCTATATGTATACATACATTGTATCAGCCTTCCAAGTGAGTGACTACAGTATGTATCACAGATTCTCATAGCACCTTATCCTTTCCTTTCAACCAGTTCAGCACAGTTTCTAATTCTATATTTATTTGAGTGATTTTATTCTTGGCTCTGGACCACAAGCTCCATGAGACCAGACATTCCTGTATCTTACTTCCTTGCCGGTGCCTGGCACAGAACAAGTATATGTTGATTGAATTATAGACTGGTGTGGACCACCAGCCATTCCCCATTCTCACTGCCTTTAACATATCCCATAACTCACACTTTGGTCCAGTGAAGAGGAGGTTTGGAGAGGGGCAGGAAGATTGGACTTGAAAAGGCAATATCAGAGTGAACGTTGCCTCTGTTCCAAATGTAGCTCTGTGTTCTCCTGTGTTCTGTCTTGAAAGACTCTAAAAGAACCCACATTTGGTTTACCAAGGAGGATCCCTGGGAACCCTGTTTAAGATGCTTTCTCTCCAAGCCTCAATCGGTCACTGGCTGCATGCATCCCATCCTCCTCGAACCTACTTGGTCAACAAGATCTTGCCCTGCTTCAACGGGTCATCCCCCAGAAGGAGGATCCGTCTCCTTCCTCTGCCTCTCCTCCTCCTGACCCTCCAAGCCGGAACCCTAGGGCGTCTGACAACCAAAATCTCTGGTTCGTGTAGCCCTGGCAGACTCTCAGGGCAAGTGCAAATTCAGACCTAGTGTAGGGGCCATGGGGCTCGACTTTCCAAGTCCCATGCTAAGCAACTGGCCAATCGGCAGGTTCAAAGTACTTGGGGTCAAAAGTTTGACCTTAAGGGAGAGGTGGGAGGGAGGGAATCTCACCAAGCGGCGTGCAGGCTCGGTTAAAGCGACCTCAGCGGGGCGGCGGCCAGCACATCCGGCTCCCCAAGAGGCCCCCTTGCCTCCACCCAAGGTCGCGGTCCTACAGGAGCGCTGGAAAGTTCAGCCAGGGGCCGAGGGGTACCAGGGCAGGAGACGGGGGCCAGCTTTTGCGGAAGGGAGGCTAAGAGCTCGATTCCAGGTGCAAGAAGGAGCCGGCGGCAGGGCGCCCCAGTCCGGCACGCTGCATCCCTGACCGCAGGACCGGGCTCGAAGGCGCTGGGCGGGGGCTGCACCATCCGAGCCGCAAGGGCACCGCGGCCTCCCCCATCCCCATCGATCTCCGCGGTCCCCGACACAGGGGCGCGAGGAGCGGATGGGCGGAAGGCGAGTGGCGCCTGCCCTTGGACAGCCCCCTCCCAGCGCGGTCTCGGACCTCGGGCGGGGGCGCCTGGTTGGCCCAGGCTGCCGCAGCCTCTGCTTTAGGGGAGCGGGGGCTGCGGCGCCTACAAGGGACGAGGCGGGTGACAGAGACAGAGAGGGGCGGCCGAGCTCCAGGGCCAAGACCCGGGTCGCGCCGGGCCGGTACCGGCAGAGCCAGGGTGGCCGAGCGCCTTACCTTGAGCCGCGGGGAGTCCTGCGCGGGGCGCCGACTGTGCCTCGGGCTTCGGGGCGCACGCAGCCTCCGGCTCCACAGTCCCCGTCCCGGGCGCGCTCCCCTAGGCTGGCGCACCCTCGTCGTCCGGGGCGCTCACCACTTCGGACGCCCTCTCGCCGGCAGGCTTGGCCTGAGCCGGGGGCGCACACCCCGCGGGGCACACCCACCCGGGCCGCTGCGGGACTGGCCAGGCACGGGCAGCCCAAGCTGCGCCCGGCGTCTCCGGCTGCCAGCACCACCCGAGTCCCCGCCTTCGCCAGGGGGAAAAAAAAAGACTCCTGACGCGGCGCGGGCTTTGGTGTGTAGGAAGGGGCGGCATTGCGAAACCGAGGGGAGGGTCTTAGCCTTGAGAAACTCAAAAAGCTTTTGGATGGAGTTTGGAAGAAAAACTTTTTGAAAAAAGACCCAAAAACTCCTAACCTGCGTATAACGTTTTGCAGATTTCCAAAGTGCTTTTATGTGTATTTATCTTAGTTCATCTAAACTAAAACAGTAACTAACTGTTAGGGCATTTCTATCCTCTTAGGTTTGGGAAGACACCATCACACAGGGTAATCATTTGACCAAACCAGGATTAGAACCCAATCTGGGTAATGGAGTACAGCGAGGGGATATACATCGCTCTGGGGTTTTCTCATTGCAGAAGTGGAAGGAAGGTGGGAGTGAGCGTATCCCAACTTTTCTCTCTCCTAAGTCGTTTCCTTTTCCTTTTGCTTTTCTGCTTTCCAGCAGTTGCTTTGGCCCCACTCTCTCACTTCACACTTGCACTGCCCACAACACCTTTTATCAGTTTGAAATATTTGCATTTCAGTCACTAACCTTGAATGACCTGCTCACTGAGTACAATACTGTGCACAACAAACAGGAGAAAGCAGCTGTCACCGCCCCATTTTGCGGGTAGGGACAAAGTATGGTAGGGGTGGAATGAATGAGTCTGTGGGACTTCAGACCCCAGCACTGACCCACTGTGCGCACCTTTCCAAGGCTCCGTTGGTGCCAGGTAAAACCTAACCAAAGGTGTTTCATTTTTGAGATTGAAATTGTGAAGGGGGGGAGATAATTTAGGGCAAGGGACACTTCTGAGACTTTCTTTTTCACATTTTGATGGATGCACGCTTATAATGATGCTTTGTTTCCTCTAGGGCGCCCTTATAAACAAATCCATGGCCCTGGAGTCACAGTAAATGGTGCAGTCTTGGCCTCAGTACTGGGAATGATAGGGGGTGGTGAACTTGAGGGCAGATCCAAGCTCCTTCCCAAGTGAAGGAGTTGCTGCTAACCAGCTCTTGCCAGTTTTTGCCACTCAGGGCAACAAGTTTATATGACCAGATGGACACAGAGAAGATGTAAATCCAGATATCTAAGTCAATTTTCCCAATTTATTGATAACTCAGGAAATCAACCCTGAATATTCATTGGAAGGACTAATGCTGAAGCTGAAGCTGCAATACTTTGGCCATGTGATGCAAAGAGCTGACTCATTGGAAAAGATCCTGATTCTGGGAAAGAATGAGGGCAGGAGAAGGGGGCGACAGAAGATGAGATGGTTGTATGGTATCATGGACTCAATGGACATGAGTTTGAGCAAACTCCAGGAGATAATGAAAGACAGGGAAGCCTGGCAGTGCTTCAGTCCATGGGGTCGCAAAGAGTAGGACATGACCAAACAACTGAACAACAACATTTTGAAAATACTAAGCACTTGATTTATAGGTCAACATGTGCTGTGCTATACTAAGTCTCTTCAGTCATGTCCATCTCTTTGCGACCCCATGGACTGTATGTAGTCCATGTAGCACAGAGACAGGCCCCTCTGTCCATGGAATTCTCTAGGCAAGAAAATTGGAGTGGGTTCCCATCTCCTTCTCCAGGGGAATCTTCCTGACCCAGGGTTTGAACTTGCCTCACTTAAGTCTCCTGCACTGGCAGGCCAGTTCTTTACCACTAGCACCACCTCAGAAGCCCATAGGTCAACATGGTTCAAGTCAAATGAAATTAATTTATGGAACAGATCCAGCCCATGGAGCAGGGAGGGCACCTCACAGGATTTCATTTTGACTTCCCATGGCCCCTATAGGATGTACCCAGCACAGATTACTATTTCCATTTTATGCAAGAGGAAACCCCAGTGCAGGAGGTTTCCCTAAGTAGCTCAAGGTTGCACAAGCTAATTGCTAGATTTGAAAGTGAAAGCTAGGCAGTCTGAGTCCTGATCTTTGAGCCTTTTCTTTCTGCATCCTCTGATCTCAAGATTTTCACCACCACCCCTTCCCCCACCCCAGCCTCCCCCAGCCACCTGCCTGATTTCTAGGCATTGTGAGCCAAGTTCAGCATGGGGCTGGCACTAGGATGTGGAGACATAGCACCTTTCCTGGGAAGATGAAGCTGGAGTGCCAGACTGCTGTCCTCGAAAGCTCAGCCTGATGACTCAGAGTTGAAGCTGTGTCTTGAGGGTAAAGCTGAGTCAGAGAAAACAAGGCCTGAACTGGGACGGCCGCAGCTTCTAAATCCCAGAGTAGATTGAGAAACAGGATGAGAAACAAACTAAGCAAATACATCCACCCCCGGCCCCCAGCCTCTCACAAAATCAGAAGCCATGGACACAGAGACGCTGGCTAGAACGCGGCCTATTTTTCCTGTCATGACGAGGAAAGCAACAAGTGTTACACTAAAAAGTGGACCCTTGGCAGTCCTGGGGAGAGAGGATACCTTGAAGACAGCAGGTTTTCTAGAATCTCAGGTTTGGGCATCTCCACTGCAAGACCCAACCTGGGTCTTTCATATAGTGAGTCTGAAAATCTGAAAACACCACCCTGAATGGAATGAAAACACCACCCTGCTGGATTCTGGAGCTCCATAATCAAGGAACTGAGCAACAGGCAGAGAATGGAATGCCTCCTTGCCCCCACCTTTTGCTCGAATTTGAAGAGGTGTGGCTCCGAGCATAAAGAATCTTCCTGCAATGTGGGAGACATGGGTTCAATCCCTGGGTCGGGAAGAACCCCTGGAGAAGGAAATGGCAACCCACTTCAGTATTCTTGCCTAGAAAATTCCATGGACAGAGGAGCTTGTCGGGCTACAGTCCATGGGGTCACAAAGAGTCAGACATGACTGAGGGACTAACACACAGACACACAGTAGGAGAATTACCAAGTATTCATCATCTACCTTGAATTTGCAAGGCTCTGGGTTGAGGATCTTACATACATGATCTCACTGGGACAATATAAGCTGTGAAATGGCTATTATTAGTATTAATATTATTCTCCTCTCAAGGATGCTGAAGCACAGTATCACTTGCCTGAGGACACAGCTAGTATGATGGGGAGATGGGGTTTAAACATGGGTCTTGATGACTCCAAAGACTAAATCCTCTCTAACTGGGGGGCGGGAAATTACAGCCAACCTGGAGATGGGTCACTCAGATCCTTCTTTGAGAAAGGATATCCCAGTCAATGGTGTGTTGATAATGTTTAGTAACTGGCTCCCAGGGGGAAAATGTGTGCATAGATACAGTCAATTCTCATTATTTGAGGTAGTTCTGTAAAGTGGCAGCAAACACTGAAATTTCTAGTATTGAACAATTGATACCAGGGGAAATACAAGGTTAGGGCACATTTTCATCAATTGATCAATATACAGCCTTGTTTTATGCTTTTAAAATAATATATATAGGAGGAGCCAAGATGGCAGAGGAATAGGATGGGGAGACCACTTTCTCTCCTACAAATTCATCAAAAGAATAACTGAACGCAGAGCAGACTTCACAAAACAACTTCTGATCGCTAGCTGAGGTCATCAGGCACCCAGAAAAGCAACCCATTGTCTTTGAAAGGAGGTAGGACAAAATATAAAAGATAAAAAGAGAGACAAAAGAGCTAAGGACGGAGATCAGTCCCGGGAAGGGAGTCTTAATAGAGGAAGTTTCCAAACACCAGGAAACCCTCACACTGACGGGTCTGGGGGAAGTTTTTGAATCTCAGAGGGCAACCTGACTGAGAGGGGAACAATATATAAAACCCACAGATTACGTGCCTAAAAGCAACTCCCAGCAGAAAAGTACCCCAGACTCCCGCATCCGCCACCAGCAAGTGGGGGCAGAACGGAGAGGAGTGGGCGGCATTGCTTAGGGTAAGGACCGGGTCAGAGTGCCCTGAGGACAATCGGAGGGAGCTTTTGTGAGTTACCAACTTAAACTGTGGGACAGCAAAAGAGAGAGAAAATTAACCGGCCCAAACCCACTGCCAGCCGTTCGTAGAACAAAGGGACCGAGCAAGTCCAGAGAAGAGCTCGCAGGCTGCGTACTGACCCAGCCCCGCTGGAGACTGGAGGCAGCGGGGAGGGGAAAGGGGCAGGCTCGGCCCCAAGGACTGCATCCCCTACCTCACTGCAAACAGGCCTCCCGTTTCTAATCAAAGACCTCCTGAGATTCTGGATGGTCGACATCCGCCAGGAAGGTCGCGGCAAGACACAGGGTGCAGGCACACGACCGGCGCGGGCGGGGACTGGGGCTGGGGACGCGGAGGGCAGTAGGTGCACCGCATCCGGGGAGAGTGCGCCCGTCAAGCCCCTGGCTGCCTGAGCCGCTCTGACGGGGAAGGCACAAAAAGCAGGCGCAGCTTTTTGTTCCGGGCTTTTGTGGAACACCCGAGGGCTGGAACCGCGCGCAGCGCAGGGCACGCTCCATATAGAACAGCCGGGAGCCTGAGCAGCGGAGAGGGGAAAGCAGCACCTGCCCCTCCGCGCAGCGCGACGGAACTAGCAACCCGAATAAGAGTCCACCTCCGCCCGCCTGTGTCAGGGCGGAAATTAGGCACTGAAGAGACCGGCAAACAGAAGCCAAATAAACAAAGGGAACTGCTTCAGAAGGGACCCGTGCAACAGATTAAAATCCCCGTAGATAACACCGATTACATGGGAAGGGGCCTGTAGATATCGAGAAGTGTAAGCTGGAACGAGGAACTATCTGAAACTGAACTGAACCCACACTGACCGCAACAGCTCCAGAGAAATTCCTAGATATATTTTTACTTTTTTTTTTTAAGTAAAAAAAAAAATTTTTTTTTCTTTTTTCTTTATTTTTTTCTCTTTTATTTTCTTTTAAAATTCCCTATTACTCCTTAACTTTCATTTTCATAGATTTTTACGATTTTTTTAATTAGGAAAATTTTTTTTCTTTTTTTTCCTTTTTCTCTTCTATTTTTCTTTTTCTCTTGTTTCCTTTTAAAATCCTCTATTACTCCTCTACTGC